GGGTTCGGCAAAGACCCCCCCCCACCTTGAAGACCCCCCCCATCCCTACCCTATCGATGCGGTCTGGTGTAATGTAGTGTAGTGTAATATAGTGTAGTGTAGTGAAGTGTCGTGGAATGTAGTGTAGTGTAGTCTAGTGTACTGTAGTGTAATGTAGTGTAGTGGGGTGTAGCTGTAGGTGTAGTTGTAGTGTAGTGTGGAGTGTAGTGTAATGTAGTGTAGTGGAAGGTAGTGTAGTGTAATGTAGTGTAGTGTAGTGTAGTGTCATGTAGTGTAGTGTAATGTAGTGTAGTGTAGTGGAGTGTAGTGTAGTGTGATGTAGTGTAGCGTAGTGTAGTAGAATGTAGTGAAGGTGTAGTTGTAGTTGTAGTGGTGTGTAATGTATTGGAGTGTAGTGTAGTGGTGGTTGTAATTGAAAATGCTACAAAACCCTCACGTTTTGCTCACTTTTGAGAAGGTCCACAATCCCTTGCGCCTGCCACGCGAAACGACATCTGAACCTCCAAAAACGGTGTCCATACATGGTGTGTTTTGTACTTTTCGACCCTCCTGAGCCCCAAATCATTGGAAACACAGTGTTTCGCGACTTTCCTACCTTTTCTCGCATCTGCATCTTCTTTCTTCTTACTCTTTCTCTTCTACTCTTCTTTCTTCTAATCTTTCTCTTCTCTCTGCCTCTTCCCTGCTCTGCTTTTCATCTGTCCATATTGTCGGAAGTTTGACTTCTAAACTTCCTTCGGTTAATATCTAATATAATGCATCTATAATATAATTATATATATAATATATTCATAAATATACACTATTCGGGGAAACCAATGGGATGGGTCGACTACAACTGCATGTCTTGCTATACATGCGGAAATCTATGCCTTGAAGCGTCGAGCTGGGCCGTTGCGAATGCTGGAGAAGATGCTTCGGAGCAGGGCTTGAAGATGAAGACTGAGACCTTGAAGCTTTTATGCTGCCATCAATGATCCGTTTTTCTGGCATTACTTAGCACCTTGGCTTCTATAGCCATACAATTTTACTTTTGAATGTTTTTTACGCATACTATGCATTGACGAGACAGTGACAGATCTGTAATTTTTGTTTCACAAACGCGACACACTTCACAGTTTTGTTTCCTTTCAAAACAGTTACATGCACAGTGTTATCTAAATTTGACCATGATAACCCCGGTTCGGGGTTCAGGATGGTTCTGAACGTATACTCAATAAACATGCACTTGACCAATGAAGGATTGGGATTTTACCAACACAGTTTTTTGGCGCAATTTGGGATCTATCCAAGCATCAAAGGTGAATTGCGGTGCACTTATACATCTACGCAATAGACTTGGACGATAATAGTTTTAAAAACAGGCATGCCAACATGGGGATTTGTAATCCAGAAAGCAGAGTTATATTACATTGTATTATAGTAAATGGGATTTGACCATCAAGGGCTTGAAAGCTCACACCAAACGCGATGATCTAATCCAAGAATCATGGTTGGTTTTTGGATTTTGGGGCCCAATACAGTACGAATTGATTTCTTGTGAATTGATCCCCACCGCTGAATAAATAACCAAGTTCTGTGCCTTGGATTTGTTGGGTTTGTCTTGGGTTTGTCTGATAGGGTATCCAATGAAATGTGTTTGTCTGTATGTGCATTATTACCCTCTGGTGATTTAACGTAGCGAACTGGAGAATCACCATTGTTTAATAGGTAAATCATCAAAAAAACATCTATTTTTATGGGTCATTTTCCATGGCGATGTTAAATAACCAGAGGGTAGATATCCACATCCTCCAACCATTTAAGTATACCCAGGATTCAAGACTGACATAATATGACATATCATGATTTGATACTCATAATTACATAATCAATACTGACATGATAATAATAATTATTATTATTATGATACTCTTGTCACTAGATACGGCATTTGAAAATCTCCGCGGATTGTTTGATCCCGCAGGGTTTTTCGCATCATTCTCCCGCGGATCGTCAGGATCAGCTCTTGCGAGAGGCGATGGGCTTCGGGAGATCCCCATGGTCGTTGGATCGTACCATACCCCCATGACTTAGGAAATGAGGAAAATTTTCATATGATCACCCTGTCAATGGCTTCGAGAAACCAAGCAACTTTTTGGAGAAGCACTGGATGTAAATTTGAGTATGGATAAGGAGAGAGCATTTGAGAATGGATTTCACTATGTTGTCTTAGCTGGGAATGTTTGTTTGCTGGCAAAAGTGAAAGAATCATCGCAAGCAGATCTCATGGGAACAGTTGAGTATCAACAGAGCGGACAAGATTGAGGAATCTGTTCAAATGAACATATACGTAGATACAATATGATACAATTATATAATATTATATATATATTTATTTATTTATTTATATATACAATTATGTTTTTTGTGTTTCAATGTCCGAAAGTAGTTGTGTGCCCAAATCAGACAAGACTCTCTCCGGGGAAAAAATCATCAGCAAATCCAAGTACCGTTCACCTCGTCTTCGCCATAGGCCATGGTCAACAGTTGTTTTTGTTTGTTGCATTTTGTTGCACTTATTGTGAAACATGTAATATGTGTATACATATATATATATATATATGAGTTCAGTTTAGATAATTTCATGTTATCTATTTATGGAATACAATGTTACATAATATATAGATACATATGATACATGATGTATGTGTGGCAAAGAAAGCCCAGTGAGTTTTATGTTGTTTGCGCAACAGCAGGTCACCATTCCCCACAGGTCGAAGAGCTGCAGGCCAATATGAATCTCAGTAGTCGTCGAGCTGCCTCCCAGCTGCAGTCGGCGATAGCTTGGGGATTCGAACTACTGTGGATTGCGAAGTCGGCACCAGTTGATAGATGTAAATTATCCCATTAAAAAAAACCATAAATAATGCAGTGTTTCATAGGAATCCCAATAATTACCAACTGGTGCAGGATTTCGCAACCATCCACAGTATGTTGAAACTGGATGTAATGAATTAAATAAAACATGATAAAAACCATCCAAGAGGTCTGGATGGATAATCTGGTGCTTCATGTTTTGTTCCAACTCATGGAATGTCGAAGAACCTGGAGCCAGATCTGGTTGGTGCTTTGGAGCATGAATTTTATGACTTTCCATATACCCTCTGGTTATGTTAACAGTTTGCTATGGAAAATGGCCATAGAAATAGTTGATTTGCCCGTTAAAAATGGTGATTTTCCATAGTTATGTAAACGTTTACCACAGGGTATTGGGAATGTCATAATCCCAACTGACGAACTCATATTTTTCAGAGGGGAAGGGTAGGTCAATGAACCACCAACCAGAGATAGACTTTGATGATTTTGGGCTATTCTCAAAGTACCCTTTTGTCTGACCGGAGAGATCTGACCGGAGGGATCAAACATATGGAGAGTCAGGTCCACTGACGATGATGGTATAGTGGATGTTAGGGCTAGTATATATATATATATATATTATATAAAATATAGTTTTATACATATATTTATATATATAGTTATTAATGGATACAATAGCAACATTTTATGGATCATGATAGATAATAATGCATATTACCCTCCGGAAAGTTGGCATGGCTATGGTGCAGATGGCCCATAAGCGTAGATCATTTACCTTTTAATTTCTATGGCTATTCTCCATAGCTTCGATATCAGAGGCTAAAAACCTGCTGGGGATCCAGGTTTTTTCATTCTCACCGCATGATGAAAGTCTCAAACCTGTCCTCATGGTATGGGCATTGAAACATGTCGTCAGACACGATTGGATTGTCACATGCTGGAGCCGTAGCCACGGTGTTGTTGATGCTGCTGATGATGATGGTAGTGGTTTATTAATGGTTATTAATGGATATTAATGGACATTAATGGATATTAATGGATATGGAAAAGGCTGATGGATGATGATGATGATGATGTTGTTGATGATGATGATGTTGAGGTTGTACATAACCGAGCTCGGGTTATCATCCCCCAAACAAAGCAGTAGAAAAAGAGATTGACGACCAAGAGGAAGTCCCCGTGCAATGCCAAGCGATGGCCACCATAAGGCAGTGAAGACTCAACCTTAACAAGCAGGACATGGAACGTCCATAAAAGCACCAAAAACTGAAAGGCATCTCTCTCGCTTGCACCATAGGCAGTGCACCTTGCCCCCTGTTGGATTGTCCCACTGCACGTGCTTCACATTCTACAGTCCACGTTCTTGGATTTGCGATTTGTGCGTAGTAAACCCCTAGAAAGACAAACAAAAAGAATCAAAAAAACAAAACATGAATTTACCACGATTTCAACTTTATTAGGATACCGAGATATATGATTTGGTGATATATTTCTTGGCTTTGGACTTTCGGCTTTAGGGCCGCTTGGTGGAGAAGATTCAAGAGACCGACATGGCGGCCACGGTGAATGCCTGGGGCCCCGTCCTGGGGCCCGTTGCGTGGCCCGTTGCGGGGTCAGTTATAAATCTAATAAGCCACTGGATACTTAGGGGATATATCAGCAAACACAGTGAGGAAATTAATTTAGGTGGGAGTTAAGGTAAAATTAATCTGCAAAAAAAACAATTACTCTATCTCTTACCTTGAAAACTGTTTCATAAATCACATGGACCACTCCAAGCTGGGCCCAACAATGGGGTATCCGACTCCTGTGTTTCAATGGCCCCAAATGATATTCGGCCGAAGTCTTCATGGTTCATTACATCCGCGTGTTTGTCCAATTCAATGCATGGAAACCCTCCAACCAGAGGTATGAGATGGTATATTGGATATGGGTCAAAACTGGGGGCGCAAAAGAGAAGGTTGTATGTACATTTCCCAACATTCTCAAACTCTGGTGTTCTATCTGGTGTTCTAATTTGACCCAATCCTATATTGATATGTTTGGTTCAATGACATGTCATGGTATTTTTTAAGACAGGCATACATACATATGGCCAGTGAAACGTCGAAACAAACTACAGTATATGCATCCACATCGCACTGCTGGTACCCACGCCTCAACTTGCACTTGTCACAACTGTTTTAGCACCATGACCTTTGAATTCAGTATATAATTGTTGTGTGATTATATTCTATCAAATCACATGTCAAATTCTTCTGATAGCACCACTTTAATGCAGCATTACCACCATGTTTGTTTCTACTACTCCTAGTTGGTGGCCACACCATTTCGAAGGGCCCCTAAATAAGAGTCTACCATTTCCCACAACGTGCTTGACTTTTTGATCGCGAGTTACTTTTCCATCTTATGAAGAGGACCCGTTCTAAACCAAAATCAATCATGGAAAAATGTGTCTTTCAGTTTCTGGTTGGTGGTTTGGAACATGTTTTATTTTCCATAATATATGGGATAATCCTTCCCATTGACTCATATTTTTCAAGACGGTTTCAACCACCAACCAGAAAATCAATCATGGAAAATTGTGTCTTTCAGTTTCATTTCTTTATTTTTGCCAGTCATTTCATGTCATTCCATAGAATTCCATAGATCGATGCCCTGCAATTTCTTGTCGGAACCATGGGTTTCAATACTAAAATGGTCGAGTTTTGGGTCATCCATGACTTGGATGGTTTGGGGTACCTCCCCTTTCTTTTGGGAAACCTCCATTTGTATCCATTTGTAGGATCATTTTGTATATTCCATCATATTTCTTAAATATCCCATTACAATAATTGTTTATCCCCTTGTTCAGATATTTGATACTTCCCAGTTTCAAGAACCACGTAACGTGTCTACGTCTTCACCGGTCGAACGTCAGGTCTGCCATCGCCCCTGCCGTCGCCTGAAACGCCGAGGCGATTCGAAATTTGGCGGCGCAGATCCCGGAGAGCGATGAGGCGAGGGGCTCCAAGTGGCCATGCCAAGGGCTAGGGCTGTAGCAGGGTGTATTGTGTTTTTAAGAACAGTGAAATATCATGAGATCTATCATGATATAGAAAAAACAAATGTTTTTGGGCTATGGATTCTAGTATTGTTCAGAAGTCCAGTTGAGTCTTCACATGTCTTCACTGTTAGTTACTTACATGTCTGTTTCTAGCAGTGAAGGATCTAACTTATGTTGCTATAAGTGAGGATACCAACCAGCATATGCAGGACTGGCAAAGTGCTGATGTTTTTGTAAATGATAGGTTGGTGGTTGACCAGCTTAACGAGCTAAAAGTTTGGCCACGCCATGATACCCTCTGGTAATCAAACATGGCAATGAGATATCCCCCCCGTAAATGGAGGATTTTTCATGGGAAACTCAGCATGTAAATTGTGGAGTTGTTGATTGCCCTGTTTGATGACCAGAGGGTATCCAAGATTGCCCATGCATTATTTACGGCAACCATGGGTCATTGCGAGTATTTAATTTATATCTGAACATTCCCTGCTTCCAAGAGATTCTATGCACAAGTTGATTGTACCCCTACAGCCTTTAATCTGTCAGGCAGTATCCCCCCCCAAAAAAATAAGGCAATAACAGGTAACACCACAACACCTGAGGTTTAAAAAAAGAAATCAGAGGAAAACAAACAGGCTACAGGTTTAAAACTTTGACATGAAACCAAAAGATAGAGTCAACTTGACTCAGGTATGATAAAGCATTGCTGTACCTATGTTCAATCATGCAAGCACCACATCTGACAGCTGGGCTCATCCTTGGGAAGACTTGCAACTCCCAAAGGAGGAGGAAGAACAAGGTCTGGAAGAGGAAGAGGAAGAGGTCTTGGAGGACCGGCTTAAACGTAGTGGCCGGTTTACCATAGTTTACCTAAATGATTTGGCATTTGGCCAGGGGAAGTTGCTGTGATGATTTTTTCCCATTGGATTTACCCTCTGGTTATGACTAACAAATAGATGGCCCAGCATTAAACCTCCATTTATGGTTGGGATGGCCCATACAAATAGATGATTTTCCCAGCATTAAACGTCCATTTATGGTTGGGATTTTCCATGGCTATGTTAGTCATAACCAGATGGTAGGTGAGAAAATTCAACACACAGCAAACAGGACCCAATGGTTGGGTGCTGAGCCATGAGTTCATGCACTGAACTCGAAGGCAATGATTTCTTCAAGGTGATACCTACCTAATCAACCATAGTGAAATTAGAATTATTTGATATTATTTGCACCAACTGAACGCGATGAATCGCTCACTGGGGCACCAGCTTGTTCAAGGTCGTGCGTTTTTGCATGGTACCCCTTACTTTTTCAGGGCTGGTGAGTGATTTGATGATCCCGTTTCGGCTCGTTTCGGAGATGGAGGATGAAGCAGTGGTTTTTTTTCGGCATTTTCAGACGATCCCATCTGGGATCCTAACTTTTTGGCCAGGTATCCTAACTTTCTCTTTTTGTTGCTTGTATGAAGTGTTTTTGTGGCTGAAAACTCCATTTGTGGATGTTACATCAACATACATCAACATGATTGAAAAGATGCGGAGAGCACGCTTGCCCGCAATGGTTTTTTGGGGATTGAATCCAAAGGAATGCTGGTTGTTTGGAGGAAACCTTAATCGGGTTTGCATTCCGAATTTCAAACATGTTACTCCTACAGGAAATGATATGGACATGTAACTTCTGTCGGAAGCTTGTTTCACCTTCTCTGGTTGGTGCCTGTATATATTACTGCACTATATATGCACTACGGCCTGGAGACCGAATGGCTCAAGAGTCTACCATGAAGCGGTAGTCTGGCATGGATCAACCACTTCAAAATAGCGGATCTGTTTTGGGTTTCCAGATACATGTCCATATGATTTCAGAGGTCTAGCTTAAGATGATTGACCCTCATTCTTGGGATTGTTTATAGTACTGTAACCCAAGACAAGACAGTAAAGTAAAATCATAATGAACACATAATGGCAGTATGTTTGAGTATCACTTGTCGACACGTTTCCATTTTTTGGGTGGCGCTACTAATGCTAGGAATGACCAATTGTTTGGTTACATTGGTACCCCATATGTGAGCGATACTTAATGCACGTCAGCAGTTTGTAGCCGACTTAATGATCATGTTTATCATCTATAAATGGGCCACCTATACCGTCCAGTGTATATGCACATGTTTTGCTGGTCAAAATCCCAGTTTTTGTAGGTTCAATCATTTGTTTATCTTAAAAAAAGCAGCTAGATTATCATGATTATCATACTTTTCAGAAGGATTATCATAACTTTCCATCATTTTCCCCGGGAAAAAATGCTAGGTCCTTTCCTGTGAGCCCAAAGTCGGCGTCCGGCTGTTGCAGGAACCGGGCGTGCCAGACGCAAAAACGGGCGCCGTCGAAACGGTGCCTGAAACAGCGGTGCAGGAGAAGGCGTGGGGAAACGGTGGTATCTTATTGGTACAGTGATGGCCATGGCTACCAGTTACAACTGGTTATTTCTATGGGATGAGAAACATTCTATAAATGGGGTGACTTGTTAGTACTTATAACTGATAAATGGCTATAACTGTAGGAGGTTTCCTGAAATGGGATGAACATCCATTAACATACCAATAATGGATGAACATCCCTGAAATACTAGGTTTTCTGGATAATGGAAATGAGTCAAAATATGTTTTTCAATTTTAGTGGGATGAACATCCATTATCCAGAAAACCTAGTGGGGAATAACCATCCATTAATCAGTTATTTTAGGGAACCTAGGGTACCAGGGTTTTGACCCATAGCCAAATGGGAAATGGCAGATTTTCATGGGAAGAAAGGGCGGCAGGATCTGCTGACACTTGGCCCCATGGGGGTTTCCATAAATGGATGTACCTCAATCATTGGATGGTTTATTTCATGGAAAATCCATCTATAAATGCATGATTTGGGGGGTATCCCCATTTGAGGAAACCTCCAAACATATTTTATATAATAATATATATATAGTGGGATATGATGGAATGTGTAATAATTGGCAACCATTCGCATAGAACCTGATTTTAGGCTCTGTCTGATAATGGGTATACCACCCAAATGGATCCAAATGGCTATTTGAACGGGAAAAGAGCCTACGGGAAAAGAGCCTAATAATCTTTTTGAATTGGAGGCAACAATATTTTCAGACAAACCCATATGGTTTCTTGAAAGACTGGGTAATCTAGTGTCCACAAAATTTCGGTAAAACTTGATAAAATTTATTGTCGTTGCCAAATTATATATAGGCCGGAAGTTGAGGAGCACGAAAGTACGGTAAAATGAGCCGTAGCCTCTGGTTCCATAATTCCTGATTCCACAGAAAACTGGGGGGAAAAAAGAAAGTGAACTTATACAGAAAGAGTATACTCCGAATTTCGTTCTATCATTCCGGCAACGCCTGTATTCGAATATTAAAGATTGACTCCCCTGATATTGGGTGATACTCGGGCAAGTTGATAGCGGGGGGGATATTCATCAATCAGCATGGTGAGTTGAACAATATCAAATTGGTGATCTCAGCAGAGAAACAAGTGAACCATGGGTTCGAAACAAACAACTACCCTCTGGTAAACGTTTACATAGCTATGTAAAATCACCATGTTCAATGGGAAAATCCACTATTTCTATGGCCATTTTCAATAGCCATGTTTGTTTACCAGAGGGTAATGTAGTTGGATTGTCTATCACAAATATGTTATTTTTGTTTTTGCAGCAACCATCAAACATTTACTCTATCATTTTGCCATCAGAAAAAAAGAAACGGAGGTGACAACTGTTCGTTCTTTTTGGAGAACCCGATTTACATTTTTTTCGCGGCTGGTTTATACCTGCAATTACATAAGAATAATAGATCTAATCCTGGTTCATGTTTTCCCAGGTAAATCAGGACATTTGAGAACGGAAGGCAGCAAACGAGTAAGGCAGATTTATTCTAACCCAAAGGTTGGTAGGATGCAATAGGATGTAATAACACAATGTACTACGGACATTGACTACCCAAAAAGGGGAGACCTTAGTGACATGAAAGAGACGAGGCTCGGACGTGAACAAAAACAGCAAGGACTTCGATCATGTATCAACCACCCAAAGC